ACAAGGTTCTCGATCGCTCATAGGCTAATTATGCGCATACATTAACTGTAATGTAAAACAGTTTTTTATCTTAACGACTTTATTCGTCAAACAAAGACCGAGGAAAACAATGCACTAGAGAAAGTGTACTAAACAGAGTTTTCTTCTACGAATTAGCCACGAAATTATGTCCGCGTGTTTTGGAAGACCCTGACATAGACCCAACAAGATCTGTAACCTTACGTTGCACAACGCAAACAGGGGATCGATGACCCGTGATCCGTGAAGAAAGAAACACCGTTAACAGAACAGGGCTGATTCGTGACGAGTATTCGATTGCTCCCGGCATTTCGCGGGTGGGGAACGAGGAAAAGAAGAGGGAGGGTTCGTAAACGCGATGTATTTCCGTTCGACTGATTATCCCAGGCGGGGCACCTGGTTTTTCGGAACCGAACGAAAATTAATCGTATTTACGGCTGCCCGCCGCCGACGCCATGAATAATGCACACCCAGAATTCACGGATGTTCAATTTATGCCGTGGAAACGCAACGACAGGGCCAGGGGGTGAGGGTTTCGAGTCTTACGCGTCGGGAAATCGATCTCGTTGCGGGATAAGGCTTCTCTTTTTCGCGACGATCCATCATGACACCGCTGTTTGGCCTGTCTACCGGGTCAACAAATCACCAGTCACTTTTCGCCTGGGTTCGCGAAACTGTTCGAGCCCCGTGTCCGATTCGTTTCGTCCTTCTTCCATCGTTTCGAGCACATTAGCGAAAAAACAGGCTAGGGGTGAACTAGATGCAGTGACGATTCACGAATGGACAACGACAATTCCGAATTATTGTATCGATTCACCGCGTTAAGAGAGAGGATCATGCTGCAGGATTGCAAATGTCTATTTCTTATGTCAAATGTTTATTTCTTAATTTTACCATTTTATACGCGACGTCGATTGCGAAGTTATTAGCTGGTGTTGGCCAGATACATATTTCTACTCTATTAACGTAGAGGGACCGTGTTTTTCTAACTTCATTAATTAAATTGGTAAAAATATTTCGAATTTAGAATCCCATCAGCTTTTTCCGTGACCGACTGTATATTTTCAGAATCTGTTGGCACGTAACCCGCGCGGACAGTTGAAACGGTCTATTCGGTTCGTCGTTTAATCGATCGTTCGATAAAGAATAAATCGATAGAAACACAATACAAAAGATAACACGAAAAAAAAACAAGAGGAAACTAGTATGCTTTGTATAGAAAAAATTGGTCAAAAGCACGTCTGGGTACGTTTTCGTTCGCTGCTTGGACGAAATAAAAAACAAAAAAAATTTAGCCACCGGTATCCAGACCAATGAAATATCTAAGTTAATGAACAGGCGACACGACGTTCGTCAATATGCGCCGCGAATAAAACCCGACTTTACTGAACCATTAATTCAACGTCTGCAAATATAGTTTATTGCCTATGCGCTGAAATATGTGTAGCACACCCGAACTGTCCGAATCGACTTTCTACAGTTTCTTTAATCGTAATATCAACAGCGAGTAAATGAGAAATATTTTTAGAAGACAAAATTGTATCAGAAAAAAAAGAAATTCACGCTTTACGAATCGAAGATAAACAATTTCGGTCTTCTTGGCCAAATTGCTGATATCATAAACGTTTGAAATCGATCGACTCGTCGCAGAAAAGGCTGGAGTTTCGCATTAATTCGAAACGAGATTACGAGCACTCTCGACGCAAAGCCGAATTAACCTAACCTAATTGGAATCGACCGGTGGGCCGATAAGACCCAGCGATTAACCTTCATTTAATTTTCAAATTAACTCCAGACGATCGGCGATGAGCATTAATTTGCCCGATATTCGGTCCGCGGCAGGCGCGATTGATCGCCGTCAAGCCCGATCAAACAGCGAATCGTCGCGAATGCACGGGAGAAAAAATCAATCGTACCAATCGAGGCGATGCGACGCGACGGTCCGATCCGGACGGGAAATGTTGGAAAAATTGATAGCGTTCCATTCGACGCGTTTTCTGCGTTTGATGCTGGCTTTCAGAGGAAATTTAGAAATAACAAGTCGACGTTCGACAGGGGATAGGAAGCGATAGAGGCGAGCGCGGCGCCAAGCGATCCTTAATCTAACGAGTATCTACGAGCAAAACGAATCAAGCAGGCGGGATTATTGCCTGTACGCGACGACCCGTGGTTCCCGTCAAATGATTATGATCATCGATTAGCATAAATTTCACCCGTTTCTTTTATACCGCTTCTCTCCTCTTTTCCTTTTTCGTCTTTGGTCTCTTTCGGCTCTTTAACCGGGCGATCGATTTTCAAAACTTTTACATTCGCCGACCCGCTTGCCCCGACGATCACGCAACGCGGGGAAGATTTTATCGAGAATCGCTGAATCTGGAGAATCGTTGATTACTGCTTTCAGCTACGTTCTCCAAATTTAACCCGGCGCCGTAATCGTCCATGAACGCGAATTAAAAACGCGAATCCGCGAGGTTATTAAAAATATAGTTCCTAATACTGACACAAATGGCACTACTAATCTTGTAGTATCTCTGTCATCTTGTCTATTTTTTACCACAAACTTATATTTTTTTATTTCGGAATCATATTCTACGCAGAAAAACGCACAAACTTTGTTTGAAACATTTTTTTGCTAGTTCTATATTTCTTAATATATTTAAATACTCGTATTTGGATTGGGAACAACTGTATCTAATACGCGATTTGCATTATTTTCATTTGTGCGTGTTGCATAAATTGTTTAACAATGCGGTAAAATATACTACGTAAAATTAGTAGATTCTTTCTAGCGACCGAGAAGTCGGTCGAGCGCTTGTGAGGGCGCGACCCCTCTGGTGGCGAACATAGGAAGCAACGCCACAATATCTTAAAAAATATTGAACTTACAAAACATGTTTCAAACAAAAGTTGTGCCATTTGACTCCCCGCTTGAAACACTAAAGGACACGTGTCGGTTTGTTTCTTTTAAATCGCGTCTTCGAGATTTTGTACAATCTAAACTTAAATAGGGCAGCCTATATATTCCTTATGATACACAAGATTTCTTAAACTTTCGTAAACAATATTTCTACTTTTAAACGCTAATATAAACGTGTAATAATTTTATTTGAAGAGATGTTTCCGTGCATTTTCGAATACGATAAATGCATGTCCATTCTATACGTTCGATAGTTCCAGAGTAATTGCGATACATTCATGATTCCACTTGAAAGCACATTTACAAACATTCGATGCATTCATATCTGACGCTGTCGAAAATATAAAACAATCATTCATTTATATCGTGAATAATACAGCTGTATGTTCGAAAATGAATGGGAATTGACGGTCATCGCGATACACGCTTTCTAAAATAAAGTATTATCGAGTAAATTGTGTACAGTACCTTTCGAGTCGTTAACAAATAATTTTTGCGTGTTAAGGTTATTTGAGGATATCCTGTGTAATTGAATTTATGTTTTTATGAGTTACACCACTTGAAATGCCTGGCTTAACTCGCGTTAGTGGAAAAATAGAATATCAGTCAGTAGTTTTATTGATTCAATGTCTTAAGGACATAAAATATTTTCAAACCTCTTTTCCATTATTCTAGAGACTTTGAATAATTCTTTATCGTCTTTGTGCATCTTAAGGCTCTTCGATGCGGAAATATCTTTTGGATCCTTGCGCAAAATCATGCTATCTAAGTAGCTTTTCGTCAATCTGTCGTACATTGATAAAACCGTATCAAGGAAATTCTTCTTCCTAAGTAATCTGATATTCTTACTACTATCGAATTCTCTTCCTTTTGCGATAGCATATTCATACACGGTGCAGAAACAGCATATGACCCGAGATCTTATTTCATTCACCAGACGGAATTTTTTTAATAATTTTAGTGGCTGTCAAATCGTTAATAGATCCGTGTTGCATTAGTGTCATGGAGGAATCACTGTTGCTTCTTCGTTTTGCGAGATCGTAGAGGGATTGTTAACATACGAACGACGAATTAAGATAACAAACGGATTGCTGGAGGGGGAAAGAGAGGCACGAGGAAGATAGAGATCGCGCAGATATTTAGCCCCGAGGGGAACATGCTGATGTCTGTGTCCAAACGTTTCGTTTTGATCGATTGTCACAAGCACGCTAGGCGCACTCGAGCGCCCCAGCAAGGCATCTACATTTTCGTGCCAGGTTCTCTAATCGCGACCGTTGTATATTTATTGGACGATCGTTATTGCGGAAACGACGATTTGTCATGGAGCGGAGTATTAATTACACGGGAGTCCCCTTTGTACAGATAACGGAGGCAAAGGGCCGCGACGTCGTCGTCAGAGACGCGAGACAACCTGTTTGAATAGAAATTGGCCTTCGAAATGGGAACCGGGACTCGAGCAACTTCCTAAAATTAATTGCTACACCGTTCGTAACGCGTGTGCCGGGACGCGTGGGTGTTTCGAATCGAAATCGCGGTCCCCGTGACTCGCGGAGCACGTCTCGCGGATATCGTTGGCGAAATTACCTCGATTGCTAATAAGGATCCACTTTCTGGATGAGAAGACGGTTTTTTAAACCTTAAGGAACACGGAAAGATACACCGACGATAAATTCTCGTATTCGCGACGCGACGACGCGTGGATAAAGAACCGGAAGTTTCGGATTTTAAAAACCGCTGAGAATCTTTATTGGCGTTGGTTAACGAAACGTCGGCTCGGGGACAGTTTCAGGCTTGGAATTTTTACGCCGTACCTTTACGATGTAACTTTTCATATCGGCCATAAAACTCTGCGGTTATATAAAATATGGGCTACGGGACGAAATTTTTTACCCTCCGGAAACGTTTTTCTTTTCTTTTTTCCACCCTAGACGCCGCTCGAGCGTCGCGGTTAAACGAGACCCTGGTCGTCTCGATTCGTTTTTCTCTCACTTAAACGACGCCTCGAATTGGTAATTTCTGTTGTTTTTTTTTTTTTTCGTTTTGAAAACAAATCGTTGCGGCTTACCACTTTGTCTCCCAAATTTCGCACGCGACACGGCAGGTACACCGTCTGACCGACGAAGGCGCTGACGTTCGCCGCCGTTGGTTCGAACACCGGTGAATCCCCTTCGGCTGAGTCATTATTGGCGTCGTTCGGACGCCGTTGCGAGTTCTCCCTCGATATTTCACGAACTTGCATCGGAGCTGGAAGCAAAACAACATTTTCACGAAATTATGTTTCGACGGAAGTACCGCGTTGTTGTAATAGTTTCGAACGGAAACGTAGCGCGAATCGATACAGGCGACAGTGTGACAATATTTTTATATCGTCGGGCGAAGTTTGAAAACTAGCTTCGACAAATAGCAAATTCTGTATTAAAGATTCATTTTGAAGATCATCTTCGTTTCTAATATCTTCCAAATCCATAGTATAAACTATTGTTCTCTGAATTCACGTACCCATCCATACACATAAAGATCCACAGTCTAGTGACAATCAATGTGCAAAAATAAAAAATTTTTGAACGTTAGTAAAAGAACGTAGAAATTTTTTTTAAATACGTGTCAGTCAATTTGTTAAGAGAAGAAAATTAAATGGATTTTTAATGAGACATGGAAAACTTCTATCGGTAATTTACAGCAACTCCAATAAAACGCTTCACAATGAAAACGAACATCAATTTCATGAAATACCAGTACGCGTCAGTGATTCAGAATTTAACGGTATTTTTCATAAGCCGCATCGCAGCGGTAATTAATGTTACAGAGAAATGCATACCTTGCTAATTATACGAAATTCCACAAATATATTCAGTGCTATTAATTTCGGGACGCGAAGTAATTATTCAAAGGTTGTTAATTTCACATAAATATCCGATAATTGAATAAAATGTAAAGGAAAAAAGATCTATCGTTCGTCGATATTATACTTCGGAATGTACTCGATCCGACAAATGAAGTGACACAAATTAAACTGTACGGCCAAAAAATCAGTTAGAATAGGAGAGAAATTGGCAAAATTCATAAAATTAATCATTTTTATAATTTATACGATTCGTCGTTGTTGCGCCTCCTCAAAATTCCGACTGGCGCAACGAAATCACCATCTAGGAACGCGAAATAATCGTCCGGGGACTGAATTTTGAGAACCATCCATTTTGTTCAAAGATCCAGGCCACGATAATAGCTAGGTGGAACGCGGAACGAGAAACGTATGGTCTGACGAGACGGCGTAATTTTTCAAAAGCACGCAGCAGCACGTAAAAGGATGCTTTCGAAGGATCCCGTAATTTCTCAGTTTCTAACTGAATCGCGCCGGAAGCACGTCGTCGTGCACCATACGCGCTTCCATCTTCGGCAAAACTTGTACGCAAATTCTGGACAGGAAGCCGACACTCTGGCTGTTCTCCGCGGGGAATGGAACTCCGGTGCCTTCTGTCTGGGGCAGCCTCATCCTTAACCAGACACCCAGAATCCGAATGCATTACACCGGCAAGTAGTAAACTACTACCGGTTGAGCAAACTCGGCTCATTTCTTAAGCGGATACTTGATTATGCAACGCTCGTGTAACGACCTCCCCGCGGAGAACTAGAAATCCTTCGGCGTGGTACAACCGCCATTCTGCAACCGTGGACTGAACGCTATTTTTCGTGGTGGCTCGTCGCTTCCGTTAATCCTGGAATTTCTTCGAACAGCCGGGAACAAAGACCGTTGTTAACCCTTATCCGGACATTAAATTTAATTCTCTAAATGAATTTTTGGGCTGCGCCGCGCGGGTGGATACGAACGACCGTGTTCCCGTCAAAGTCGTAGAACTTTTAACAATGACGAGACAGAGGGAATCTTGGACGAAATTAAAGCCAAAACGTGGCGGAACGAGAGAGAAAAATACTATTTTCGACAAGCAGAAACGCGTTTAACAATCGTGCCTTTCCTCTTTGCACGGATTAATGTTTCGCGAATCTCAGGAGCGGGGTTGATATTTCTAATTAAAACTTTCTCTGTGGGGTTCGTTTCTTTCCTTTTGATTCGTTCGGTTCCTGCTGGTCATCAGGGTACGTGTAACGCGATCCCTCTCCAAGTTTCCCGAATGGCCTCGGCTCGTCGAATAGCCGTCGGTCTATTCGGAACGCTGCCTCGTTAGTATACCTTCGAACCGTCTCTCCATCATCATCAATCATCATCAGACCAAGCGACGATATCCATTGCTGGTTGACAGGGATTGATCCGGAAGGGAAGTTGGTGTAATAAAACCTAGCTTGGCTACGACTTTGCTAATACTCCGCCGCAAACCGCACCAAAGATGCAGCTTCTCTTCCTTTTGATGTTTTCGGGAACCTCCTAATCGAGAGACTGATCCGGGAACCTAAATGGAAACCTCTGCGAGCGTTTTCTGAGAACTTGGTAATAACGAAGAGGATGTAATAGAAACAGACAGAAATTAATCAAGTATTAATCAAGTAAAAAGTGACTACGATGGAATATAAAATATCAAATGTCGTGTAATACTTTTTACGCAGTCTGATAAACAAAATTGATATATGCAATAAAGAATGCATGTTTCCATTTAACAAATTGAGTGCCGAGCTAATTTTGCATGCCTTTTCATTTCCGCCGAGCGCTCCGGGAGCGATTCGGATTATCCTCGACGTTTCTTCAAATTTATTATATTCAAATTGGCACAAAGGACGGGCGAGAGTTAATACGAGCCAGAAATGGCCGATATTCGTCGTCTAAAGGTTAACTCGAACTGGAAACGTACGAACATCAATTCTCGAAAAGCATTAAAGAACGTTATCAGACTAAATTGGATCGTCCCCGGCGGGCGAGGCGTGCGCGTCAATCAACGCAATTCGAAACGAGCGAACCGCAAGCTTTGAAAATCGCCGGAAGAAACAAAAAATATGTATGCACGCGTGTATATATGTATATATATCGGAAAGAGAATTCTAATTGCATTCTCGCATGGTCTCGTTTGCCGTTCTCCTTTTATAGGCAGCGGATCGCATATTTTCCCCGAGGTCGAAAACACAGCCGGATAAATTTAATTGGAACGGAGCCCGGGCGCGTGTGTAGCTTGACGCGGAAAGAAAGAGAGTGTAGCGGCCAGCACGAGGTGCAAAAATGGTATCGAATTATCAAACGAACCCAACCAGAACGAGCCGCTGACATCGTAACTCGCTGCGCTGACCGTTTCGCATAAACAACGTCCTCCCCAAACACAGCGGTATCCCGTTTCTACCGTTGTGCAACATTCCTCTCGCTCTCTCGCCCTCGAGTTAACGCGCCGCGAGCCAGATTCAACCCCCCCAGGGGGTCAGCTCAGAGTGCAGATAACGCCCCTATACACACCAGCACGCCTCCCGTCATACAAATGACCAACTTCTCTCTCTCTCCCCACGGTTGCCTTCCGCGCCGACCTCGCCCCTGCCACTGATAACTCTAGATTAATTGACAAAAACCACCCCGCTTCAAAATCCTCCGGCCGCTGTCGTTCCAACGAATTGGGGCTCTTTATCCCGTTCCCGTTCCCGTTCCCGTTGTACCGGGAAATAGCCTTGCAATTGAAGAGTAACAAGTTTACTGACACCGTCGTCAAGGGGACCAGGCAATCAGATTGAGCCCTTTCATAAGAGCTTATTAAAAAAAAACGGTTTTGATAGCTTAAAATGTAGGCGAATGCAAATTTTTTATTGCAATATCTTGTCAAACAACCGTGTAGCGAACACTTAAACAAATACGAATTTACCAAACTTCAAAATACTCGGAATAACCCCTGCTTTTAAATTAAATACGGAAAATGTGAAATTTATTCCAATATCTTTTTTACAAAAAATAATAAAACTTCAGTAAACCTGGAAAAATTATTTTTAGTTACGGGGGTCAATTACAATCATTTTTGGTCAATAGACATACCCTCGAAATCCTGCCCATTTTCCAGAAAAAAATTCGAGAAGGTGTGAAATTTTCGGACAAAATTAAAAAATTTCAAATCGTTCTGGAAAAATTATTTTCGGTTGCTGGGGTCAATTACAATTGTTTTTGGTGAATAGACATACCCCCGAAATCCTTCGCATTTTCGAGAAAAAAATTCAGTACGGGCGGAACTTTAAGCGTTAATAACTTTCTAACGAAGCCTCCGTCAACAAATTGGTATTCTTGATTTTCGTCTTATTTTGGCTTCTAGAATCTCCAGTTAAAGTTTTTCCACGGTTGGCCGAACACCTTGTGTAGAGTGTTTTGTTCCGGCCGCGAAGCGTTCGGTTTGACCAAGCGTCGTCCGTTTCTACTGTTTTCTAGAGCACTCGCGGGGAAAGCTCGTATACTACTCCTTCGCCGGTTTTTTCGCCGCTTTATAATATTATAAACGGTACAAGGAGGCCCCGTAGCCGGAGAATATTTTCTTTCTGTTCTCCCGCCCCTCCCAGCGCTCGCGATGCCGCGGGCTATTTTTCCTTGGGTATTTTATGGGTGGCGTCGAGGCATCATTTTTCTCTTTATTCCACACATCTGGGAAGCGTATAACGCCGCCGGGCTGGCACGGCTACGACGAACGCACGTTGAATTTCGTTTTCATTGGCATCGAAAGCCCGGCTAGACGAATTATACCGCGAATATGGCTCGCGGTCATTACGCGAGTAATTAAAACATAATAGGCGCATTGTTCGGAGCAAAAAAAGAGACTTTACAATGCGTTATGGCGCCCGCAGTGAATCCCAATGCGGGATTTCTGTAATCATCAGTTCCTTGAGCTTCGTACCATTTTCACGAACGTACGCGTGTATCTCTTCTCGCGCGACAGTTTTTTGCACGATTAACTTTTACAGATTTGCTTCGATGCGGTTGCACAAACGTGCATTAGTTTGTAGAGAATATTTTAAATTACACTGCAGTTATATTTATTTCTTAATTCTGTGATTGCAGGTGTAATTCTTTCAAGGCGTGGTCCAGACCTGACTCTTCAACAACACTGGCAAGATTAAACTTTAACAAGCATTTGAAGGTATAAATAATTGGTCTCGAAAACATTAGATAAACAAATGGAAACGGGCACATCATTACGCAAAAGCTCGACTACGATCTCGCGGAACTATGAAAGATTCATAAAAAGAAGTTTACGGGCACATTAAAGTCATTTATCGTCGCACATATCCCGCGATGCAATATTCTTTTTTTTAGCGAGGTCCAGTATGGAAAGATATAA